TGGTTCATTAAACCTGACATTCAACAAGTTTTTAATTTAAAAGTATCATGTACTTTCCCATGGGTTTTTGTTGGTTAAGTAAATGCAATTAGTTTCACTATGGTCATTTTTCAGTCTGGACATAGGCCATTAAAAGTAGTGTCAACTTTCTAATGGACAACATGTTCTATCCACATTTATCATATGCTTCTCTCTTGTAATTTGTCTCAATAATGACCAATGTAAACATGCCCATAAAAGGGGAGATAACTTTGACATTAATCCTCTGAAAGATTATTAATTGCCTATAAATTTCGTTTTACAGTTCTATCAATATGATCAGCATCTGCTAGCGTATTTCTAAGGCAGCTGTATCATTTCAGCCAACAACTTTACAATCTATATATCTGAAGGGGAAACTGACAAGTAACAAGAATAAGAAATTGTTTATCAAATATATTTGCAGAAATATCATATCATATTCAACATTGATTTCCTGATTTAAGAATCTATTGAACAACTATCAACATGCTGGTATAACTACCAACCTGGGTATTTTCCACATTTTAAATCTGGTAGAGTGTTGTCTTTGTAAATAACTCAGGTATCTCTCTAACTTTTGCCTTTGTAAATAACCCAGGTATCTCTCTCTAACTTTACAATGATTCCTAGTATGAAATTTTAATATCTGAGACAATTTTACAACTTTCTAGCATTTAAGAAATACTGAATATCTTTTGTCTAATTTTTGACCTGGAAACAATCAGTCAAAAATGTTCATCCAATAATCTTAAATTTTCTACATAATATGAAATCTAAGTCTTGTTGATTATTAAGTGCAAGTTTCCCTCTTAAAAATGACATAAATAAAAAAAAATGAACTTCCTGATTTTGGAGCCTCAATTTGAAGTTAAGAACTCCCTCACCACATGATATTTCTCACTCAACATGATGTAAATTTATAATCTACTAATCAGGTTAATGTAGAACAAGTTATTGAGACATCAATCTTGACTATGCAGAGATGGAAAGGTAATGGGGACCCATATGTCAGATGAAATCTATCTAATGAAAATTACTTGTAATCATTTCTAGGTGGATTAACCAGAGATTGTATGGCCTATTTTCTTAACCCAATCTGACTTGATAACAGCAATATATTCGTGTAATAGAATAACATGCTTCACACACAGTTCATTACTTTCTATGATGTTAATTATAATACACTACAGTAATTAAATCACACAACCATATAATGAATGTAAGAATGTTGAATACATTAAACTTTTGAAGAATACTGGCACCAACACTACAACGTGATGGACAGCTGATGATCATGATGGATGGATGGATGCTAAATGCCTTTATGTCCAACGGCAAATATAACATGCATATTTAGGACGATAGTTTGTAGTATGTTAATGCCAAATAAATAAACCCTAATTAAGACCAACATGCTCAGCCGGATAAGTCACATACTAGCTCACAATATCAGAGTTTTTAAAAGAAATAAATGAGGAATGTGTCCATGGGACACAGATGATGCTCCCGCTTGCATATCATATTAAGTTATAAAGGGACATTACTGAAGAACAGTAAAAGTGACGCTACCAAAATTTGTACTTGACCTGAGTTTTGCAGTAATAAGTATTGTATATAAGTTTCATAAAATTTGGTTGAGGCAAACTTAAGTTAGAGAACGTAAACAAAAAATTCAGCAATTTTTCCGTTTGAAAAGGGCATAACTCTAGAACGGTTAAAGTGACACCACCAAAATTCTAACTTGATATGTATTTTATGGTAATAAGCATTGTGTATAAGTTTCATTACATTTGGTTGAGGCAAACTAAAGTTCGAGAACGGAAACGAAAAATTCAGCAATTTTTCCATTTGTAAAGGGGCATAACTCTAGAACGGTTAAAGTGACACCACCAAAACTCAAATTTGATCTGTATTTTGTGATAATAAGCATTGTGTATCAGTTTCATAACATTTGGTTGAGGCAAACTTAAGTTAGAGAAAGGAAAGGAAAAATTCAGCAATTTTTCCATTTGTAAAGGGGCATAACTCTAGAATGGTTAAAGTGATGCCACCAAAATTCAAACTTGATCTGCGTTTTATGATAACAAGCATTGTGTATAAGTTTCATAACATTTGGTGGAGGCAAACTAAAGCTAGAGAAAGGAAACCAACTATGGGATGTACGTACGGACGTACAGACGGTAAAACTTAATGCCCCCTCCGCTACGGCAGGGGCATAAAAAGTAAAATAACAAAAATACCAAACTCTAAGGAAAATTCAAATCTGAAAGTCCCTCTTCAAAACCTCAAACACATCAAACGAATGGAAAACAACTGTCATATTCCTGACTTGGTACAGGCATTTCCTTATGTAGAAAATGGTGGATTAAACCTGGTTTTATAGATAAGAACATTCACCCTATTTAGTTTGACTCCAAGTTATCAAGATTTTTGCTCCTACTCCTGCAAGTCCTATATGCTGCTTGGTAGATAGCCAACACAAATAAATCTAGAACTTGGGTAAGACTAATAAGATGATAAAACCCTCAACCTATCATACTTAAGGTAAGTAGACTATAACAAACCACCACTGTATCAATAGACTGTAGATGTCCACTAATGAGGGAGAATACAAAACAGTCAAAATAATACATGCTGATTTTTTCAGGATACCCATAATCATAGAATATAAAATCCTGATGATCAAAGAATGTTTACAAGAATCTATAGTCATGTAAAGGAAAGGTGGAACATGAAAAACAACATCATTAACTGACTTTTTGCACATACTGATATAATAATTTATGTAAATATTGTATCAAGATGATTTAATTCGGAATTCCATAAAATACTGACACCTATTTGAACATCATAATCATGATTCTGAAAATTAGAAAGTTTACAACCACTGAGGAAAGAGGGTGAGCCAGGTAAAGTGAGAGATGACTCAAAATGTTACAGCAAAATTGACTTTCAACAAAATAACCCACTGACATACAGCTGATTTCCAAAGAAGACAGTTGTAAAATACACTGTTCATTGTAGATAACCAAGGGTAGTCATACGGTTGACTTCGTAAATCTGCATGTACAATTTATGGCAAGGGGAAAAAAGAGAAAATGGCATGCATTGCTGCACATATCAGGAAGTTGTACATGTCTCCAAACTGACTTGTTGTAAACAAATTCGTGAGAAAAATTTCAAATTAGAAATGTGTAGTAACCTTGACATGCAATTCTTCAAATGAGTCAAAAATATATTTTTCTGAGATTAAAGACAAAACTTTTTTTTCCTTATTATGTTCAAGAAGTATTTATACATATTATTTAAACAATATTTTTTTAAAGAAAACAGAACAAAAACCCATTTCTTTCTGCATCACTAATTCCTTTTTGTTATGTAAAATATACCAATTGTCTATCTAGTTATCTTTGCTTATTTACATTATAATAATAAATACAACACCAGTAAGTCTAAACAATAAGCTCTTCATTAACTTAACCACAGATAATGGTATGATATAATGTAATCATCATCTATTAAGTACTTCTCTCAAATGTTTTAGATTTCACATGTCTTATGTATTACCTAATATCCTCTTACTGATAAATGTGTGACTATGAGTGTATGTACCTGTATAAGTAAGCATTTTAGAAGATTTCTAACCTTAATTCAGGTATTTTTTTATGAGTCTTTTAATATACATGTTTGTTATATATCTGTCTGACCTTATTTACTAGGCTTAGAGATTTTTACAAAAATGTATAGGTAAATATATATGTTCATATTTTTTCACCACTGAAAGCATAACTATGAACCCTAGATGTCTTTAAAGTGAGCTTTTAGAGTTGTTTGGTTGCTGCCTCAGATATCCCCAAATTTCTTTTAATTTCACAACATATACCCTCTCTGAACTGACAAGTATATGATTCAATTTGGACACACCTAGTCCATACATAAGTAGCTTAGCATTCAAGAACATTATGGCCTGTCTGTAATGACTGATTAAAAGTACTTATATGTTAGAAAATTGTAAAAAAACTACCTGTAAACAAATGTATGAAACTGTGCAAGTGCTTGCTGAGAGTTAAACATTCCTGTGAGTGTGCATACTTTAGGGAATGTTACTTGTGGTATTGTACACAGCTAATCTTAGAACATTTACCTAGTATGAGAGTCTGGATGGGGTTTGTAGAAAGGAAAATAATTGGCAAACAATAATGAATGAAGAAATGGCCTAAAAAAATCAAGAAAATGCAGAAATAAAGATTCCTAACCCAATAATTATGTATCAGTACTTCTGTAATAAGACCATCATTATCGTATATGCACCTTTTAACTGAGTACACATCAAAGACCATCTGATTTCCACTAGATTTCTTATAGAAGTCTCATGAAGTGAAAACAGATTGACTGCCTGCAAGAAAATTCTATAGTTTATGCAATAATAGACACAGAAGTGCATAAGTAGCTTACAATATTTAAGCCTTTAGGTAATAGAGTGCACACAAGGTGATTCAGTTGACAATCCTGGTAGTGAATTTTCACAATGAATGCTAGTGATTGTGGGTGATTAACTTTAAAATATCTCTGTATATACTATAAGTTAAAATGTATATATGGCTATGTCTTACATCAGAATGTTATAATCTCCAATCCCAAGCAATTACTCCTTTTCAGAGTGATTTGCTCACCACTATCGTGATGGAATTTTGACAGCATCCCCTTTGTGTGTAGTTTGGCACAGCATTTCTGTACTTGTATACTGGGGATACCTTCATTTTTGTGGATTAAGGAAAAATTGGATTTTCATGGATATTTGATTTTATTGTTTTTTTCCCAAGTCTGCATAGAAGCCAATAAAAAATTTGAACTTTGTTGAACTTTTGAATTCGTGGTTTACTTATACCCATGAAATCCATGAAAATTGGTATCCCTTGAATAATAAAGAATACGGAGTAGCAAAACCACCATCATTACATGTTAAATAATGTAATTACCTGAACTAAGTACTTCTCTGATAGCATCAGACTACCTGTTGATTTCTGGGTAGTCTGTAGCACCTGAGCTAACCATGTTGTTAGCTCATGATACTGTTTACGAAATTCTGTTAGCGAAACTTTATTGTTCTCACCAGACGTTTCTTCATCAGAAGTCTGAAAAAGAAACATTACAAATTATGGAATTTTACCTTGACATAGAAATAAATAATTTAGATCTAATAACTTTTTAATCCTAGTGCTGTTTTTATTATTGATAGATGATGTTACTGATTAAAACTCTGTCAAGCACATAGAATCAATCAGCAGGATTTTATGGCAGACACTTTTAATATTTCATAATTGTATCACAAGACAATAATGATCTATGACACAACACAAAATCTATATCTATTTCAAGCTTAAGAGTACATTATATTGCAATATAACTAGTTTCATGACAAATAAGCTTTGTTAAGCACTATTTCCTTTTATAGCGACCATAAGACTTTATCGTAACTGCTACAAACTTTTTAAGTGTGCTAATCAACTTTTCAATTAATACTCGAAATTATTGTACATGTGTATTTTTGCTCCAAATGTTTAAACCTGTAAACAAGAGACTTGATCTGTCTATTCTCACATTTTTGTGGTAGTGATGTACAACATGTTCCATTTTGTAGCATACTGACTGTAGTACAGATACATCTTGGCAACTAAAAGTACTAATTTAGACCCTTATCATTTAATATGGCAGAAACCATAAAAATAGAAATTGCTTCTCATAATCAAATAGTTCTCTTAAAAACTTCTTTTATGATTTACTTTTTATAAGAGTAGCAATATTTGTCTATTTTTGCCAGAGCAGTTCTGAATTCAACAACTATCAGTAAAATTGCTTGCCAGATATTTGGCTTCTGCTGTAAGAACTGAAAAGTTTGTCTCTGTACAGGCCAGCACCTATATATTATTCAAATTAAGTATGATATGAGAGCACAACACTTTTCTGGAGGTAGCTTCACCAGGGATGCTCAACACCAAAAGTTTTGTAAGCAAAAAATGGACATACATTTTTAATAACCAAAAGGGTCTAAACAAAACTGTCTTACATCAACTTTGCATGAGATAGTTACAACCTGTGTCTTAAAATATTACATATTTTCAAGAACTTCACAGTAACAACTTGTGAATTTATACGTCATTTGGTCTCTGGTGAAGAGTGGTCTCATTGGTAATCATACCACATCTTCTTATTTTTAAATTATGTTTATACATATGTATGCCTGCATATAGTTTCTTTAATAGCTTTATATACATGAATGCTTCATTCATGGATGTGATACTTATACAAAAAAAAAAGAAAATCACTACAAACAATGATTTGATCAAATCATGGAAACATTATACAAACTTAAATGATCAAAGGAACATCCATGCAGAGGTGCCCTTAGGCCAGACACTGTACAGCTCATCAAACTTATAGATTGTAATCAAAAAGAGATAACTGTTGCTTAATTCATCAAAACATTAAAAGTTAAGCCAATTATTTTTAACCCTCAAACCAAAGTTAATTGGTATTTACATGTGTTTATGGCATTAAATTATATGTTAGAGCTACGTTCGTATCTAAGACAATACCAGTAACATACAAGAAATATATTTTTTTAGGAAACTTGTTTTTGACACATACGCGCGTATTCATGTGCCTGTTCTACGTCAGGAACCTCATCTGAGGTTGCCTTCTGTTTTATTTTATTGATTTTGTTATTTAGGGAATATGGTATATTGATAGCAGATCTGTGACAGTCTCGGTTAGACTTGAGGCTATTTACAGCCTAGAACATATAGTAGAGATGTCTGTTGTACTATTGTGTGGTTGTGTTTCTGTCTTATTAGCCTATACCAAACTTGTCCTGTTATTGTGTGGTTGTGTTTCTGTCTTATTGGCCTATACAAAACTTGTCCTGTTATTGTGTGGTTGTGTTTCTGTCTTATTGGCCTATACAAAACTTGTCCTGTTATTGTGTGGTTGTGTTTCTGTCTTATTGGCCTATACCAAACTTGTCCTGTTATTGTGTGGTTGTGTTTCTGTCTTATTGGCCTATACAAAACTTGTCCTGTTATTGTGTGGTTGTGTTTCTGTCTTATTGGCCTATACCAAAGTTGTCCTGTTATTGTGTGGTTGTGTTTCTGTCTTATTAGCCTATACCAAACTTGTCCTGTTATTGTGTGGTTGTGTTTCTGTCTTATTGGCCTATACCAAACTTGTCCTGTTATTGTGTGGTTGTGTTTCTGTCTTATTGGCCTATACCAAACTTGTCCTGTTATTGTGTGGTTGTGTTTCTGTCTTATTGGCCTATACCAAACTTGTCCTGTTATTGTGTGGTTGTGTTTCTGTCTTATTGGCCTATACCAAACTTGTCCTGTTATTGTGTGGTTGTGTTTCTGTCTTATTGGCCTATACCAAACTTGTCCTGTTATTGTGTGGTTGTGTTTCTGTCTTATTAGCCTATACCAAACTTGTCCTGTTATTGTGTGGTTGTGTTTCTGTCTTATTAGCCTATACCAAACTTGTCCTGTTATTGTGTGGTTGTGTTTCTGTCTTATTGGCCTATACCAAACTTGTCCTGTTATTGTGTGGTTGTGTTTCTGTCTTATTAGCCTATACCAAACTTGTCCTGTTATTGTGTGGTTGTGTTTCTGTCTTATTAGCCTATACCAAACTTGTCCTGTTATTCATAGATTCTGATGATCAATGTGCTAGGGGCCGTCTTAAACTTGCAGTAAGGTGAGAGGTTTGTTTGCTCCGTGTTGAAGGCCTCACTGTCACTTTGAGATGAGAACAGCAATAAAAGCGCTGTTCCTTTGCTTTTTTTGTGATTTTTGCTGTACATGTGTCATTGATGGATACCCCATATCCTTTGTTTTTCTATTATATATCTGCAATGTTGTTAAAAAAATTTGTACCTTTTCAGGCCATTTTTTTAATTTCAAGGATCCCTATAAATTAGGTTAAGGGATTATTTATTGTTATGGTTAGGTTAGGGGATGTTTTAGGTTAGAGTTAGGTTTCAGGGTTAGTGTTAGTATTAGGTATGACCATACGAGGTTATGGTAAGGTTTGGGGTGAAGGATAGTTTAGTATAGCTCTATATTGGTTGGGACCCCTAAAGTAAAAGAAGGCCCATTTTTGTACATGAAAATGTATCTTTCACCAGCAAAATGTCATTCGAAATCCCATCTCTTCTACCGGTATATTAACTACATGTATGATAAACAGTCACATAATTCAATCAGTGATTAACCAGGAAGATACTTTTATTACTTTGATAATCAGACCACCTTCACACCCTTTTACCGACTATCACTGCAGCAGATACAGTACATGCAGTAGGATCTGTGTTCCTGATTGCTATTAGAAGCAATTATTTTTGCTATTGTGTTCAGCAGATTCTGCCATTGCAATATAGATTTTACAATCGTGTACATCAGATTTTGATCTGTGATACCTATTGCATCTGCTGCACTGATAGCCGGTTATAGGGTGCAGGAGCGTATCCAGGATTTGATGTTAGGGGTGTGCTCCTCAGAAAAGGGAGTAAGATGACTATTTTATAACATAAAATTGGCCGTTATTTTATCTATAAATTACATTTTTAAATTTTTTAAAAGAGGGGTGGGGGTGTCAGGTGTGCTGCCATCTGAATCTGTGCAAGGGCTGTGATCTTTGTTATATACATGTAACTCCCTAAACAAAACTTGAACATGCATGGCATACTTCTACTTCAAACTTTTTAACCCTTCCTCATGTTCCTTATCATAGACTGCCTACATGTATATATATATATATATAAATACATTTAATATACTGTTTGTAATTCAAATAAATCTGAATGATTTTAAGCCATACAGGTAATTATTTATGGAAATTTTATTCACAAAAATTTGTTTACTACCTTTTAATAAAAAGAAATAGACACTTTCAGTTGTAAAACACATATTGATATACAATGCATATAAATCACTTTTTGTCAAACTTGACAATACCTATATATAGATGAATTGTATGTCAAGTTTGTGAATTTGAGTTAAATAAGTCCCAAAAAATATGTACATGTACTGATACATGTATGTTAACTACATGTAGTACCCGAGTTGGCACAAAATTCCCTTAAGACCTTTAAACAGGGAACTATTTGAATCTGGAATAATTTTGAAATCTGGAAAATTTACAAGAAATGTATGATGAAAACTAACCCAACTTTGGAGGATTAGCCATGCACGGGATCATCATGTAATTGGGGTTCTAAGGTTATGTGGTTTTAAAAAAATTCCAAAGAAAGGGGGAGGTTCTAGCAGGAACATTCCTACATTTCCCCTCCCCATCGGGATCTACCAAATGATTGTACACTCATGTTGATATAATGAATCATTAAAATAATTTGGGGTTTAATGTTAGTTGGAAATTAAACACCCATACTCTAGGAATAGGTCAAAACTGTTACAGTGACATTGCCAATAATTCTATTTTCAAGCTTGTGTGTTGTCCAATTTGAAGAAGAAAAAATTAAAGTAAAACAGAAGTGCTACAATGTATCATGTAAAGTGTATGCAGTTAATTATGACCTATATGTTTTAACATTTGCCTTAAGTATAATATTCTGCTTGCCTTCAGTCAACTAGACGCTATCAAACTTCAACTGGTCTCCTTATCAATTATTCATATTTTGTACTAAATTGGTGAAAAAGCATGACATATATTGATGAGTGGAGGTAACTGTCCATATCTGTTACTTTATATTACAAGAAATGAAGTAAATTGACTATGACAGGTATTGTGTAGGACTGTTTATCTGTACAATCATCTGAATATTTAATTATAACCATACCTTACAGGCATCCAGAATATCTTTATCAAAAAGGTACTGAAAGTTGTCTGTAAGCAGCTCATATTTACTGTACCGTCTTCTGAACTGGTCCTTTAGAGTAGCTGCAGGGGAGGTACCAGGAGTAGTACCGGGAGTACTCTGAAAACTTTCATCCATCAACTCCGAAAAACAAGGTGAGTGAGCTCTACTGCTCACCTGACTACTGACTTGGCTACTGGTTATCGAGACATCATCCATCATGATCCTCCTTCTCTTTGGTTCAGAAGGAAAATCCAAAATACCTTTTAAATCAGGACTCGAAATGTTGTTCTTTTCCATCAAAGCTGGACTGTTGGTTCGACCGCTTTCAACGGGTGAAAAATTTAGTTGTGATTGTGATGACATTTTATCCACTTTTCTTAGCGGTGTTGTTGACATTTTTTTTATTTTTCGTAGGCTGTATGGTATAAATTCCAATTAACAGATCACTGTAAAGTAATATCTTGTTTCCCGCTTATTTCAGCATCAGGTGACCTTAAAATTTGAAATTCTTCCTTTTTGAACATTATCTTAAATCCCCGATCACTCAGAAAGACAAGAATTTTTGTAATTTCCCTTTTCCTGGCTGAAACAGCACGATATTTTCCTTAACTGTGAATCTGGAATCCTATTTCTAGGTCATTGATTCTAATGTCTGCTCAACATCTCTGGGTAGTTACTATAAAAAAACAAAAAATCAATCATAAACCATTCAAAACTCATCAAATATTACGGCTACAAATATTGATACAGATCACACGAATTAACAAGATTTAAATCCATAAAAATTCTGCCATAAAATGGCTGCTGAGGTGTAACATATATACACATCTCTAATTGTTCTATTTTTAGATTCAGTGATGCATTTGAGAAGAGCCTGCACATGTTCAACTTCATTCATTAAATTCCTTTGGCATATTTTGGCAACAAATGAACTTTTCAAAAATTAATCAATACTGGTTTAATATTTAACTGATCACCATAATTGGTAGAAGTACTGTGACCTTTTGATATAACACCTTTGAATTCAGGGCTTAGGTGATAAACATGCTTTTCTAGCTTGTTAACAAATGCTTACATGACTGACAGGAAGTTATTTATAAGGAAGAAGACCTTGGCAGTTATTTTTCCCATATTCAACAAAAAATTGTTCTAAACTGAAATTGTTTCAACATATGTGATATTTAGAACAATAATTACTACAATTCGAGGTGAATCGTCTAAATACATGAAAATTAAAGATTTGCATGTTTATAAATCGCAAGCCAAAGGCCATATTTTAGAATATACAAACTAACAGATTTATTTATGTATGTTTATTTCTTGTTCTGTCAGTTTTTGTCATATTCTATCATGAATAGTTATTGCATGTTAGGGTAACATCAACACATACTGCCATAAAACAATCAGATCAGACAACATTCTTATGCTGACAGTAGTGATGTGTGGTCACACTTCTGGTCAGTTTGAATTTATAGACAAATAGTGCCCTGAACTTCTGACTCATTGTAAGACCAACTATTGTTACTTTTTAAGAATACACATATACACACCCCCCTCAGGAACTGTTTTTATAACTTTTGTTATACCTGATTCAAACATAAGATATTTAGATCTGCATAACAAAAAGTTAGACAAATATCTTAAGACCATTCTAAATTCTTTACATTCAGTCGTTTTAGTCTGGGTGGTCATTATATTAATCCCAACTAATCAAGATTACTTAGGACGAAATATTAAATTTTGGTTAATTAAGTTTTTTAGTTACATTGAATCCACTTTCTTCAACACTAGTGTATACATAGAGGCAGGAAAAAAAATATTCAAACAAAATTCTATGATCAACTTATATGCGATAAAATTAAACCTAAACATCCTAATATACTGACTTGTTATGTTATTTTTTTAACTGTTGAAATAAAATGAGCTCTGATGACGCAAGCCCTCTTCAAGATTCAAATGTCATATTTCAGACTATCCTATCTTAAATTTTATCATTATCATATCATAATTTCTCAACGATCCTTCATATACATGTAAAGTGGTTAATCTGTTTGGCAAGTATCCCACCATTGTTTGTGTATACAAATAACTTAAAATAAGCCATCTATATAACACATTAAAACACCAAATATTCTTCAAAGTGATAAATTCATTTTATTTTCATTCCTATTATATTCTAATTCCCGGGTTAATCCATTATTACCAGGAAAAAAACAATATTTAGGTTATTTATTACTGACACCTTACCTGAACAGGTCCTGATTATGTCCCATAGGTTTATGACACAACTACAATATGATTTAATCACCTTTTATGTAACTCTTATCTTTTAAATAGAAATTATTACTACAGGAAAATAATTGTGTCATTTTTTTTTTTTTGCTTTGTAATCTTGAATATGACGGTTATTTTCGACCTGTACATCAAAGATATTGACAGGAAGGTGTAACATGAATGTTTTTAAAAGTCAAGTTTTGTGGAGATTCTATATTTTTTAATTTACTCATTTTCATTCCTATAAAACATAAACTGAATTCAATTCTGTATTAAATTTCTATCAGGAACCAAAACAAATGTCTCTCCCTTATCTGTGCGACCAATTTAGGATATATAGCTGTATATGGAGAACAAGAGTTACATTAATCATTCAACATATATGGATAAGCCAGGGATGGCCCAAGTAAAAAATGGTCCAGAGATAGGGATCAAAATAAGCCTGATTTACAAAAAATGGAAATACTCTGACCTGAGGATCAAACTAACTTTCAGTCACAATGCATTAATGACATTTCACAGATCTGTTGTAATACTTTCACATTACAAACATCACACGTCTACATCAAAGAATGTCATAGTTTAGCCCAGTAAAACTGATTTCCCCAAAAAATAAATAAAGGTCAAGGTCATACTTCAGACATGCTGGTACGAAAGTGATACATCCACAAATACATAATGTCTAGGTCAAAACATTTCAAAGTTTTGGTCTGGACAAACTGATTTGACCATTTTTTTTTTTTATTTATGCCTAGGTGATGGTCCAATGCTGTGCATGATTGTATGCCACACATCATTTATTACAATACACTTCAATGCCAAATGTATTAAGTCTATAATATATAAAAAGAAGTTCTGGTCAAGACATGTATGAAAAGAAGAAAATAAAACATGCCAGAAAATATGTTTAACCATGCCAAATTCTGTATTCAGTATGTGTCTGTCCTCAGTTAGAAGCCTGTCATTCAGTGGTTTTCATTTGTTGCTGTATATCATATTTGTTTTTCAGTTATTGTTTTGTACATAAATCAGGCCGTTAAGTTTTCTTGTTTGAGTTTTTTACATTTGTCCTTTTGAGGCCTTTTAAGTATAGCTTACTATACTGTATGGGTTTTGCTCATTGTTGAAGGCTGTACAGTAAACTGTAGTTGTTAACTTCTACATCATTTGGTATCTGGTGGAGAGTTGTCTCATTAACAACTAATTGAAAAAGACTTTCACATCTCACTAGTTTAACAAAATACCCTATATTTCTGATCCACTTCTGTATGTTCTATGTGTGAAAAATAAGACACAAAAGCTTTATGAGTAAGTAAACCACAAATTTAAAATAGATACACTTTTCTTCAAGGGTTTCATTTGAAAAGCAATTACCGGTACCAATTTAAACCAAATAAATAAAAAATTCTTTTTTTCTTCGTGTACAGGTTGTTAATATTAAAATCCTTTGATTCAACTGAATGCTAATGTATATTTTTAACATCAGTTTCAGATTTCAGATACAAAAGATTGTTGTCACTAAATCAGAAATATTTGTACTCTTTTATTTTTCACCGATTTTTTTTATTCAATGGAATTAGTCATTGAGTTCACAGACTATTCTCCCCGCTGAAAACTAATGCTATTAAGGGCATTACTATATAAAATGGTCTATAAAAAGTGAAAGGATGAATCAATATACGCTTTTTTTTCAGAAGATAATTGCACCTTTTGAAAGGAATATTTTAGATATGCTTGAAAAAAATTCTATAATGTTAAATATGTAGGATTGCCATGTGAAATTTTATACCACTACCTGCAAGCTAATGACAATTATGACAATAATGTTAAAGTATTGTTTTCCTTACCTGTAATTACAAATCACAAAGACTTTATTGATATTTCATCAACACATTTTGTCATTTTCTTCCTGAATTTTATCCGTCCCACAAGTAACCAGCATGAAATACAATTTCGCGATGCTGGGTATTTAATCAATCCGAAACAATGTGGAAACTTTTTCAGGAAACAACAGACAATCTTCCTTGTCATAAGACATTATATTAATACAGATATTTCCCGATATTTGATATAACTTCAAATAACATTCATCCAAACTAATAAACAATGATACAATGCCTAAGGTAAAATCTGACCTAATCATGGAAGATCTCCATGACAACAAACTTGTACTGGTCAAGCTGACCACTTGGGACTTGTTACATTATGGTCTGTAATGGCAATAACATTCATTAGTCATTTCAAGAATGTGTTTAAATGGGTAATCATTTCCTAATATTCTCTTTATAATCAATGTTAATTAGTCAGAATGCAAAGGTCACCATTGAAACCAGAAACAAAATTACTGATACTAGACCATTATTTCTGAGTATTTTATATATCTATGAATAATTAATACAATTTCTTGGAATGCAAAGTTCATCAACTAAAAATGGAAACAATTTATTGAGCTAGACATGTTATGCCATTTAAAGTGAAGTTCAAGCAAAAGATGCAGTGATGTTTCAATAACATTTGTAGCAATAAATTTTAACACAAATCATTTTATGGAAAATGCAAAAGAACGCCCAAGATTTTTATGAAATTCATTCAGAGATTACATATATTTGTTCTTATCCCACATCGTCCTGAACATACATGAAATATTTGCCACTGGACATAAAGCAAACAACAATCAGTCATTTTATCCCACATCTGATAAAAATCTCACCATTTCACTATCTGACAGTAACTCCATGTGAGCAGAATATATCACATCTACTAACAGATATGGGCTATACAATGATGTGCTAATTTGGACATCTTTGTATCCTCATGTTTAAGTCCATAGCATGACATATATAGGCTAGTTTGGAGATGGGGAGGCTGGAAGACTTCAAGTCAGTGCATTGGAAAAAATTTTAGCAAACAGAGTTCATCCCAAGTATTTGGTGGGGTTTGTGTTGCTCAATCTTTATTAGACTTATGGTTATAGATTGCCACCTTGATATTGTTTGTCTCTTTTTACTTCTGTACTAAGATTTATATATACATGTAGCTGCTGCTGCTACTATTAGAGCATCAAACCTACTCTGAAATTGTTAGCCTACTATTGTTAGAGGGTAATGTTGAATTCAAACCTTACTTTAAAAAAATCCCAAAAGTACATCTGAAGCCAAAATGTTATATCTTTGAAAATAAAGAAATCTATGTACATAGATCAGCAATTTTTCATGAAATTTCTTAAAAAAAATGTCAGTATTGAGTGATGAATTCCAATGAAATTTTTACAAGCCTTTATATATTTGCTGTAATCTGCTATGAATTTTCTTTTCCTTAAGTTATGATTGATAATTTTTATAAAGCTTTTAGAAAAATCTTTAGCCCATCTCACTCAATTATCTGTGGTAATTCATTATAACGCATTGCAGGTGTGAAAAGAAAACTGTCCTAACCATAAGCTCCTTATCTTTTGTTCCTAAACCACTTAGCAGTAGCATGTCCTCCTGGATTTAACAATACCATTCCCTGGTCAACAGGAAACTTGAAACCATCCATCAAGATAGTGGATGCTGGTATCGATTTTTGAATAAAATCCCGGTCAGGTAAATAGTATGAAGGATATTGATGTTATTGTCATACAAAATTTTTAATAGCCTGTTGATCTAATTAATCATTAATTGTTTGATTCAACAATACATTCTAGCTTTACCATGTTTACTGTTATCAATCAATCAGAGTGTCAAGCAAAAAACAAAAACCGGCAACCCAAAATAATGAATTTTTAAAGGTAAATTCTATCATGAACATGATGAAATATTCTTTGCTAAAAATATTATAGCAAACTTGCATTATCAAACAAGCTGCTATCAATTATAAATGTGTCAAATTCATATTTTTATTCATTAAATTTTAAGTACATACTATTAATTAGTAATGATGCAAAAGTAACAAAAAGGTTATATAACCTCTCTTATATTTGTGTTCATCAAAAGGCACATTTTCGTTTTAAATATGACTATCTAGAAAAGATAAGCTCAAGGATCTAAAGAAATAAATTCTGATCTTAGCATTTTGTATAACTAAACACTGTTCTTCTGCAGGATGTTACTCAAAATGTAGAAGAACCCTGAGCAATGTTTCCCCAAGACTGATTCCACTAAACAAATGTACCTAGTCAATACATTGCGTTTCAGGTTTAAGATAGAAATGAGCTAGTAATGAAACCAATGCCATTTACATGAGAATTAGAAATGGATTTGGAAAAGCTGACTAATTGGAAAACAACAATAGCACTTTTTTTAATATCTTATTCATGTTGCAGTTTTGTTCTAATTAGAAACATTTTAACTCAACGAACTTCTTGGTTCAATGTATCTACTGAAGCCTGTTGCTTTTTTTCCATTAAGTGAAAATCAAGCAATTTGTATCAGTATGCTCCTTTACTCTTGTTTTATTGCAATTAATCATGAAAAATACCATCTTTCATAATTTGGTATCAATTTTTAATGAAAAAATATTTCTATCCTCATAAAGGTAAAAAAGGAACTGGTGACCTAATGTTGAACCCAAGATTTCTTTATTTAAACATCCAATTTTCTATGACTAATTCCAAGTGCTGAGTCTGGCAAGAAGTGTTTTGAGTATTGATTGTAAAGCCTACCTATGAAGGTTTTATGGTTTATAGAGGAAATATTCTACAGTGTATGGAGTATTATTACAATAGGCTAGTTAGTTCTACAACAGCTCATTTTCTCTATTACTAAACTCATATTCCCTATTAATATCAGAATTTATTAATTAAAATAAACTAATATAAATTGTAACCATACCTTAAATGATATCATTTAATATGTCTTAATGGTTTCTGTTAACCATTCTTTTACAGAGAAAACTTCAAGTGTAGAGAATAATTTGAAGGCAAATGTAAAGGGATTCACAGATCATCATGAGATGAATCAAAATAAGGTGATAAATGTGCATCTTACTTGTAGTATACTCATACATGTTTATGCATGAGAAATGTAGAATTGGCTTGCAAGTTAATAATTTCAACTTTATTTGAATCTATTGATTCAACCTTTTATTTGACCCTTAGCATGTTCAGTTTGCAATTCATTTTAGCGTTCTTTTTGCACTCTGCATTTAGGCACTGCCAATTCTTTATAAATATAGACAACATTTTGGAATTCCACAAAAAAATAAATATTTTAGAGTTTGTATACTACATGGTTAAAAGAATAACAACAAACATGTATATATATTTAATTTGAACTTGCCAAGGACTTATTTTACTAGCTTAACATATACATCGTTGCTTTCAGAATAATTATGTGCTTGTGCCTAAAACAGAAGCCCTGTTAATTAAGCGCTGATTGGTTAATTCAAATGCAATGTTAATTTTGATTGGTTAATTAGTATGATCTCGAAAAAGCAATTAGTAAACGAGATTTCACATGCAGCAGTAACTGGGAAACCCCCACACTGATTGGACAAAATAATAGACAGGAATTCCCAATTAAAATTATATGTAAAGGCAATGCACAAATACGTATTGTGTATTAATAATCTATTTATAAAAAATAGTTCCAACATTTTGGAATTCCACAAAAAAATAAATATTTTAGAGTTTGTATACTACATGGTTAAAAGAATAACAACAAACATGTATATATATTTAATTTGAACTTGCCAAGGACTTATTTTACTAGCTTAACATATACATCCTTGAACTTTCTCATACACAGTTTAAAATGTTACATGCTCCCCTGCATGTGCAGCGATGACAAAATACAAGTTTGCAACAAGAGAATAAACGTATTTACACTTTTGGTATTTAGCTATATTTTGCCTCCGAATCACCTTAGATCTACTTCGAATCACCTTTTGATGTCAGGCAACAATCACTTTTTAATTGTGACGTCAAATGTTTTGAATTATGATGTCAAAGTTTACGGGAACCTGTGTGATTTTACATAATGGCGGACAAATTTGCATACAAGTGTAAATATGTCTATATGCCATTGTTATATGCGCGAAATATCCTATGAAGTACTGCCACTAATATCAAAAGTGTAGGACAGCATGATATTATATCATCAGATTAAAAACTTTGAACTTGCTTTCAGAAACTGAGTATTCTACAATTCAGTAGAATATTATACATTTATTGACTTCTTATAAGGGTAATAGCAAGTTTGCTGTCCCTGAGGTACCAACTAATGCTCTATTATTATTTTTAATTATTGTTTTGTTTGTATCTGTTTTTTATCTATTATAAACCATTATTTCTGAGTTAAAGGGGCATTAGCTACAATTAAGAAAAATTAATTATTTCAATTCTATGTTTTTTTTTGTTTCAAACATTTATAAAAGCAGAATGTTTAAATATTATGTTGCAACAAGCAGTCAGTTTGGTTCGATTTTGGCAACATTAGCTCAAAAACATTGCTGATGTATAATTGGCTTCCAAGTCAACAATTCAACCTGTTTGAATTCATCATCATGTGACCTTTAACTTGACCATTATCTGGATATGGGTTATGTGTGTGCAAAGCATGTTCACTTACATAGGCAGATCCAGAAAAATTTGGCCGTTTATATAGGGAATCACTGAAGCATGACTGGAGCTGCCCCCCCCCCCCCCCCCCCCCCCCCCCCCCTTATGAAAAGTTCTGGATCCGCCACTGACTTATACCTTATACAAAAGATTAGAATGTCATCTTGAAGAATGCATGTCCCAAGTCAGGTTTGTTGTTTGTGGTTCTCTTATGCCATATCAACTTAACTGTTAATTATTTAGATATTTGGTTTTAATTCAGTCACTACCTTTCTAGACTTTTAGTTTGATATATTGTACTGGTAGACAGTCTTCTATAGAAATATACTTTTTATTAACCTCTAGATGTTTGTTTTACTTGTATCCTTATGTTGCTGTCTCATAGTCATTGGCTTAAATCCCAGTTGTGACTATTAACAGAGGAATCAATAGAGAATACCCAATGAACTCATCAGCTGTACAAGATAACCAGGATCACAAATGATGAGAACCTTGTCTACCCTCCCCCTTTTAAAGTGTTTAATAGTTTACCGAAGCGTATTATTAACCCCTATGATTTCAGGTAAAGTTAAATACAAAATCAACAATAGCAGCGTTATCTGACAACAACTGTCAAGACTACATACCAATCAAATGCTGTATTTTCTTCTTCTTCACTTTGACAAGTTGAATTTCCGCCACACGTTTTGTGGGGATGACCTGGATATCGGATTTGAAATCCGTACTCTGATTGGACAAACGTCATATTCTAAATATAATATGGAAATCACCTAACAGGTGCCCGATATATCTGAATTACACAAATTTGATTCATAATAAAGTAAACAAATATCCTCTTTTAAAAAAAAGTTATTTTACCTTTTACCGCCATCCTATTCCTCTTACTAGAGTCAGTAGTCTCCTCTAAATCCCAAACATCCTAAAACAGGGTTTCCGTCCTCTTCTACAGACGGCTTTACCTGGCTTATAAATACGATATCTGTCAAGTCTAGGTAAAATTTAACATAGTTGAATGCATGGTCAACATTCCGAAACGAAATAATAAAGATGAATAGAATGTGTAAAAGGCGGTGAACAAATTCAAATGTTATAGGTTTTTTATTTTCTTATGGTTGATCATGAGCCAAATTTCTACAAACACAGATCAGAGACGTATACATACGTATAAATGTCTCTGCACAGATCAAGGGTTTTAACAGTAAGATGATAAAAATCCTTGGATTGATAAGTAAAACCTTTAAAAATTTAGAATAATTCAAAATGATGTAGTTGATACAGGCAAAGATATAAGTAGTATTAAAAGCATTGATACAGGCACGGATAAAAACTTAGTAAAGATGGCACAATATTTCAATTAATAACTTATAAGAGTTTGTATTACACATTAAATCAAATGGCATGACAATTTCCCCCTCTATTTGTTTCACTCACATGGTTTAGAATAAATAAAATGCAAGCCAATCCTGACAAGTTTCAAGTGATTGCAGTTGGAAAGAAAACTTTTGACATGAATTCATCAATTGAAGTTCAAAATTCCAAATTAACTTGTGAAAAAATAGTTAAATTGTTGTGTATACAAGAATGAAGGACACTAATGGCCGATTACCCATATCAGCGACACCCGGGGTGCAATGTTTTTAATGATGTTCGATTAAATATAGAAAGTAATGGGAAAATAAATGGGTACCCTTCATTAATTCTTCATATTATTTTTATTAATCATCTGAATTCTTATTAACACATACGACCGAATTCTACATAGATTTACCTTTCTGGTGGTATAAAAAAAATCAGTTTATCTTATCTCATTGTTAGGTCTCCGATTTTTTTAAATTTCATTATCTAAGTTCCCTTACTCACATCAGTAAATAACGATGAATTACCTCAAAAGAAACGAGACAGCAGTAACTAAAAAAATTGAAGCACACTTAATATGCAAAGAAAATACTATTAACACATACTGTTGAATACTCCTGTCAAAAAGCTATATTTTGATGTCAGAAAAGTCAGTTTAAATTAAGAAATTCTTAGGTCTCCGGCGTTTTGAAAAGTTGTCTTTGAAAAAAAAAACCAACACAAATGTAATATACAAAAACAACGTACATTAGCGAGATCATACTGTTATACATGTAAAATAAATTCCAGTTGTTCTTAAATGAATTAACTAATACATAATAAGTTCAAATTCAAAGTGTTCACTGCTGCTATTTTTTATTGTTCAAATAGAAACGATAAATATTGAATACAAAATATTTGGCGAAACGTATTTAATGATAAATGATAAAGTATACATTTACATTTAAATAATAGTAAACGATTCGCTATTCAATTTTTTTCACCCGTACAACATTTTTCATCATTTTAATTCGATAATATTTAAAGAAAATGAAAAGGTGGTATATTAAAAAAGCTCGAAATTGATATATTGTCAAATGAATTTTATTATCAGCAAGCACCCTGTCGCTTGATTGTCTTTCCTATCTCCAATTACGATGTCTTATATAATATGATCAACAGGATGCCATTGTTTGTTTTATTAAATTGAATCTGAAACAATACAACTTGTGTTAATTGGTGACATATGTACATGTAATGAATGTATGCACGGTTTGTTATGGGAGTATCATCCTGTAATGACATTACATCAATGTGGTGGAACTATTAAAACAAATTTGAGAACTCGAAATCTAATGCAAAAAATCTTTCAAATCACTCTTTTTTAGGGAATCGTGTTCCTCGCTCTTTAGTTTGACCATGGAGGTAAATTGATTAGTGTTATCTATGTATAGATAGTTTAATTTGCTGCTTTTATTTTTTTATTTCTTCTTTTAATTTGTCATTTTCTATATATATGTTATTTTTACTTAATGGTGCAATACAAAACACATGTAAGTTGACTCTCGGTCATTTTAGAAATAAACTGTTTGAAATGTTCTTGTGTGAAAAAATGTAACGCTTACAACACATTGAATGTTGGTTTCTGTTATAATGATGAATGTGTTGTCATTGTAAATGAATATTAAAAAGCCGATTGCTGAAGACCTGGTGACAAGTTTTAATCTTATGCACAGCAAAAGAGGCCCTTCTTCGTTGATATGTTGGGTTTTCCTTGTATTTCAAAACACCTTTTGTCTGGTGCATATGCCACGACTCATAAAATCTAACTTATATTTATTAATTTATTTTGTCCGACGAATTTGTGTCACTGACTTTTTTTTAAATTTAAACTGATTAGCCGTTTTTTTTTTTATTGTCTAAAAGAAAGTGTACATTTTATTGTCATGCACCAAAAATTACCGTTAACATCGTTTGACATGAATTTTTACTTTTATTTGTCATCATCCATCCATCATGACCCTCATACAGTGTGTTGAAGTCGAGCACATTTGAAATGTTAATAAGATCTTAAAAAAAATCACAGAACCATGTTAACTATTCAACTTAAGTTCTTTACTTTGATTAATTTTTAAATTCATGACTTATGATGCTTGATTTAAAAAAAATATACAGATATATAACAAATGAATTAGTATAATTTTTATCATTTTATATATGTTGTAGCAGGGGTGGATCCAGCCATTTTTAAAAGGGGGTTCCAACCCAGGATAAAAGGGGGTGGGGTCCAACCATATGTCCCCATTCCAAGGCATTGATTGTTAAAAAAAAGAGAGGGTCCAACCCCTGGATCCCCCCTCTGGATCCGCAACTGTGTACACAAAGGTCTAATGAATGAATACAAACAAACAGGTTATTTATGGGACCCTTTTCATGGAAGAAAATACTGTTTTTAATTTGGGTGATTATTCTTTTAAAAGAATTTAGTATTGCTGGACAAAAGACTGGCATCTCATGCGAAATTGGCAAAAGTTGGCAGTATTGATAATGGACGATTAACATGGTAAAATGAAGACCGTACTTTGACCTATAATGGTTTACTTTTACAAATTGTGACTTGGATGGAGAGTTGTATCATTGCCATTGGCACTCATACCGCATCTCCATATATCTATTAACTATAATTGCAAAGATATAGATTTTTAATAAAGATTTTTTTTATACTTACCTATATAATATGTTAAGTAAAATTTTAAGTAGGTGAAAAGTCTGCAGAAAAAAATAAAGATGATGAAGAAAATGATGAAGAAGATGATGATGATGATGATGATGAAGAAGAGAATGGATTATCTCCTCCTGATCAAAAGAGACAAAAAAACTTGACATTGCATAAATAAATTCTAAATGTACACTGAAGAAGAAACTTAAGACTGTACTGTACTACAATTAAATGTGATGGACAAATTATATAATTTTTTCATTGTTGTATCTTTCATTTTAGCTAGTAAAATTTACTTTCATATTCTGTTTTAGAATTTTCATTTTTGACATATATTGCCTCAAACACAGACTGTATCTTATTTTCGTTACATTGACAACAGTCAGTTTTTACTAATCCATTTTGTCATAACCGCTATAGGGTATAAGATGAATATACTTAAGACAAAAATTTCATGAAATATTTAGAATTACATATAATACAATGAATAAAAAACACATAGGCACAAGTGATGCTGAGGTGAAAGTGTAAAGAAAATAATAATATTGAAAGTAGATCTGTCAGTCAGTCTGTCTGTCTATTCATCAGTCCTGTTCTTGCCATCCCACCCCTCTGAAACCATATCAAAATCAAATTGTGTAGGTTACTGTTAAGGACATAGTAAATAGATGTGCAAAATGACAGGAAATTATGATTCAATTTTTATTCTTCTTAGAGTTATGCCCCTTTGAACTTAGAATTTTGGTCTAAATATATACTACTGCAACAGTTAGTTGTAGCAACTCATCTGAATCCACATAACAGAATTTCATGAAACTTTGTAGTTAAATAGGACATAATATGTAGATGTGTATATCTACAAGAACTTTTCTTTTGTAGGAGTTATGAGTCTTTGAACTTAGGATTCTGGTGAGATTTTGTTTGCTCGGTGACAATGTGGGGGCATGGGGGTACATGAGCATGCTTGCTATGATTCTTTAAGTTTCAAAATTGAAATAACAGCTTGAATGAATAAGTTTAAAAAGAGATGTGGAGTATATGCCAATGAGACACATCATAACAAATCAAAAACAATAGGAGGAGATCTTGATATGATCTTCAACAGATGCCTATATAATGTCAAAATCATTAATGTGACTATATAAGAGCAAAAAAATTCGTCAAATTGATTTCAACTGTGTCTGTTACTCAAATATTAGAAATAAAATCGGTGACATTCCAAGATTATTACAAAAAAAACCTGTATCCAAGACTGCAATGGAAATGACTGTAACAGAGATCTTCATTCAAGAGTTACTCTTTTAATCTTTTACTTTACACCATTTATGGATGAAAATAAGAATTTTGTTTAAAAGAAGAAACCATAGGTTTTAAAAATACACGATCTTTCTCTATAACACATCCCAAACATCTACTTTTATTCTAACTGTGGGATGAATTAGAAATTGACCAACGCTATCATGAGGTGCATCAAGTTTATATAAGATTTTTTTCTGCAAGCAACCAATAACAACTTTGTTTCTATATTGGAAATAACTATTCAAAGAACTGATTATGGTCCCACACAACAGTCACAGATTTGGTGGATATTATAATGGATCATAATGTCTCTACTGTAGATGAACAGCTTACACGTATCTAATATAGTAATATGTGTCTGTCCGTCTGTGTCAGGTTACTTTTATACTATTCAACTTACGTTAACCAAACTTGGTATGCAGTTGCATCATGGGCTTCAAGGATGTGTCATATCCAAAAGTCAGGTCTCTCATACTTTTTGTACCATAGAACTTAGGTAGACCAATATTGTTATGCTGATACAAGTTATGGAGATTGCCGGGGTGTATCATTTACCAAAGTAAGGTCACTCTGACTTTGAAATTGTCCTATGACCCCCGTGATAGTAAAACGTTTTCTGATTTGTGTTTGGTGTATAACTATTCTTCTTTATCACAGTA